ACCCTTACATGCTTTGTGGAGTGATTTCTGTGCAAGTGCGTATAGCTCTTCTCTGAGAAAGTGGATCTACGAACAGATTTAGATGTACAGTAATCTGTTGAAAATGTACAGATTTTCAAATGCCATTTTTTTGCTAGCAATAGTATTTGAATTTCAAATGTGGTCAGTAGTTGTTAAGATTACCCTCAGTTTTCTAACTTTGAATCTATATAAAGTCAAAGATGTTTGACAATTGTAATAAGCTTATGCATTGATAAAAATTGTTCCTATGATTATTTGGAAATATGTCTGGTTCAAATTTCAGATGTTCCTCTAAAGATGTGCTGTAACAGAAATGTTAATGTCTCAAAGAATTTGCTGACAATTTTTTGTGTCTATGTGTAAAGCCTCTTATTATCGTAGAAAAACAGTAACAGTCATATATCCAGATAATTTGTCATTATTTCCTACTTACATTAAGCGTTTCTTCATTGGTCTGAAATCTTGAACCACATAGCCTGTTAAAGCTTGTACCTTCCTGCTTGCTTCACAGTGTTGTAATGTGCTTCCGAATATTCTCATTTTTGCCCTACCATTTCCTTCTTTTTTAAAAGAAAAAGTGTTTTTTTTTTTTAATCTGTTTACCTCAGCTTACCTAAGCTGTTTTGTTTATCATATTTTTGATATGTTTTTTTATCTCTTTTACAGGGAAATCAGCACCAATTGATAGTAACAAGGAACAGCAGTAGCATCACCAGACCCAGCAACTTGAATGTTAACAACAATATTAACAACATCAACAATAACCACATTCATGCTGCAAGTGTAAACAACATCAACAACAATAATTATAGTAGCAACCCTAGTGTAAAGAGTTGGACAGCAACAAACTTACGACCTGCCCCTCCTGTTAGAATTGCTGCTTCACTGGTCAGAGATGATTTACGAAAGTCTACTAGAGGGCCTCGTAAAATTAGTAAGTTTATCTGGACTTTACATATGGATACCAAATTTTTAAGGCAACTTATTGTTTTTTATGCTCTTTGTAGACGAGAGGAGCTATGAAGAAGATGCATTAGTTCTCCGTGTTATTGAATCATATTGCACAAGTGCTAAAACCCGTTCAACAATCAGCTCAGGTAAGCGTTTCTTGTTTTTTTGCAGGGTAAAATACAACTTTTTCTCAGTTTTCATGCAATAGGTTCTTTTGCTCTTACCGTATTTTGAGATAGGGTTAAGTTGCTTTGCAGCTTTAATGATTGAATGAATGGGTAATTGAATGCTTTAGGGAACTGTATTCTAATGACATTATCAAACCTAAGCATGCTTTATGGCTGGTATTTCATTGCATAAATTTTTTGCTTGTACTTGAGGTATATTTTTTGTAGTTGCTATCAGTAAAAGGAAAGAAGTTAAGTGTATGTAATTATTTTGAAAGTTGACAAAAAATTTAATTAGACATGGCCTCTTTTCATTCTTTCTGTGTATTCTTCCTCACCTGATAGCTTCACTTAATGTGTGTTCCAAAATTCTTTACTTTCCCAAAATATATGCCACTGCACGGCTTTAAAGAATCATTGTTCTGTGTATTGCTTTTTCTGGCATGTATATGTATGTATGCTCATAATAATCTTCTGTTTTGCTGAGAAATAGCACTCTTCATGTATCTTTTCCAGTTATTACATACATGTTTATCTCAAATCTAGATTGTTATTACTTTGTGTGGTAATTAAAGTTGAATAGAGTCAAGCTTGAATTTAGAAATAAACCAAGCACTAGTGTGATGTCTTCTACTTGCTCTCTTGCTGTACACTTTGTTGCTATTTATTTGGTTTGTTTTTGTTACTTGACGTGAAGACATTTTATTTTTGTTCCTGTGTGAATTTGTTTCAATTTTGTAAGTGTTGTGTTGTCTGTTATGGACAGAACCTGCATCTTCAGGGGGCAACTCTGTGGGATTCCAAGAGCCTGGTGCTCGAGGTACCCAATCAAGTCAAGGAAAGGGGAAACACAAAATTCTCAGCTGGCTTCTGGACTAGTCACAATGACTCTTCAAACTGAACTGGACTTAAAATATGCTCTTCTAATAGCCGTATTAGCCTCTTAATATTCTATACTTTCTTATTGTGTAGAACTTATTATAAAATTGAGTCAGTGTTCGTATTAATTTTTTGTGAAGTCAAGATAAAGAAGATAGACCTATGTTGTGGAGCTGTCTAAAAACATCTATCTTAGGTATTAACTATGTTAGATATGTTTGCTAATACTACTTGCACTCATCCTTGTAAGATTTATTTAGCTCATATAATTACAGGGTTGTTACAGACAGACTAGAAATTTCAGGAATTAGAAAATTGGTCAGTAAAAGTTGGGAAAATTGAGGTCACAGTCTGCAAAATTTCTCCTGTCGACTGCTTCCTGGTAAATAAATGTGTAACAATACCCCTTAGAAAAAGTGGTGATACATTTTTATCCCCTTTCTTAACATTTTGCTGTTTTTTGTCTTTTTTGACGGAAAAGTCTGTGAAATTAAAAATCCAGAACTTGTAACAACCCTGAGTTATGACTAAAATACTGTTCTGCGGAACAAAGATAATGGTGAATGTTCATTTCCTTACCTATAGGTATGTACTCTGATTGTACTAGTCATGTGCTATTCATGTGGAACATTCCTAGTTATATAAAATATGTGGGTAGTTATTTTATTTTTATGTGTATGTTCACTTCAACATATGATAATTTTTTTTATTTATAGTTTGAAAATTTGTTGACGAATCATAGTAAATGAATGTATAACCTCAAGAATAATTTTTAAGTACCATACCATTTCATGCAAGCTTTGTTTGGATAATTGTCATTAGATCCTGTGGATTGGTGGTCGTGTGGTGGTTGTGTTTAGACAAAAATTTTGGCCGTATTGAAAATTGATTTGTGCTGCATTTCTTTTTCATTTTTGTGGTATATTGTTTTAGCTCTCCTGGAAAGCCCCCAAGAAAAGGGTGTAGGAAATTCCATAGGAGGCCAAAGTCCACAAGCAGAAGATAAGTAAGTAGAAATGCTAACTGAAATGTTTCTTGTTTTTTTTCTTACAATATTTAAACGAGCTTCCTTTTCATTTGTCTTTTTAGGAAAGTGTTGGATGCAGTACATGCCTTGAGCCAGAAAGTGAATGATCTTCAGGGACAAATTAATACATTAATGCAACAGTTGGATTATGAGACAAGTGCTCGCCGTAGCTTACAAAATGTTATTCATGCGCACCTCACCTCAGCTCAGAGTGGTTCTCATCCCACTTCCCTCCCGCTTATTGTCGACTGAAACAATCTTGTCCATGCCAAGGTTTGTTACATCATGGTTTTGAATTAATTCAAACTGTACATCACTTCATTCAATCTTTTAATCTATTCATTCAATAGATGAAAAGTTTGCTTTTTATGACTGTATTTGTGTCATGGCACACAAGTTTTCAAGTGCAAAATTAATGTTACATGCAGTGTTTTTCTTGCATTGGATGCTTGTGATGTCATTGGCTCTGTTAAATGTGTAAGTGATAGATGGATGCCAAATATTTTTACATATTAACAAACAATTAGACAATTTTCCAGTTGTTTCTGTTTACTTCCAGCTTTTTATTTTTCTTCTCTTACCCATGATATTTCCCACATCTCTTGTACCAGCTACACAACAAACTTATTAGCACTATGTATGTGCAAGACGTGCAGATCTACTTCCATTTTGTTCCACTAATCTTAATTTTATTCCACTTATTACTAATTAATTAGCAGCACAAATAAAATAAGTACCATAAGCCTCAATTATTGTCTTGGACAATTTAAAAGTACTATACAAACCAAAAAATGAAAATTTACAATAAGTACCATAACAATATTTGAACTGAAAGTACATTGTAAAATTACATAAATGAAAGGCTAGTCGTGCCTGGTTTGGGTTAAATGCACATTTTTCACTATGCAAACTGAATTTGATATAATACTGAACTGCAAACTCTAATGATCCACATTATTTCATAACTCACAACATTTTAACTTAATGTTAAGTGTCCCAGGATTTAACTTCATTGCAAACTTAAAATTACTATGGCATTCCACTTACAGTAAATACAAGTAACATTAAATTTTTATCAAGAGAGCAAAATGTACTTTGGAATGGAAGATTACCACATACACAAGCATTGCTTTAAGGCAAAATAGACAAATCAACAACATACTAGAAACAGATCATTTATCATTTATATGGCATTACTCCTGAACAGTGAAGGTTAATGACTTTCCTTTAGGATCATCAAAGCGCATCATAGGTTTAATTTCCATCATAGCAGATATGGCAAAGCCTAGAATACCCAATAAGAGAGAAGTAACCATGAGCCCTGATAAAATAGGAATAGTCATGAAAGGTGGCCACTCTTCTTGAGGACCAGATGTTGGGTTGGCAGACGGAAGGGGTGATGAGGATTGAGCAGATGATGGAGAGGTAACAGACTCTGTGTTCTTTGTGGAACTTTCTTTCTCCTTAGGCTCACCAGCTTCACTTCGTTCTTCAGCAGTTTCTTCAGCTTCCTTGGGTTTTGGACTGTCGCCCTCCGATTCCTTGGCAGCATTTTCCTCAGCTTCACGTATTTTCCTTGACTTTGTGTTTTCCTCTACATGCTAAGGAAAAAAATAAGCATTTAGAATTTATGACAAGCTTCACCTAACAAAACTATTACTCCGACTAATTTTAGTGAGAAACTTGAAAAGTACTAACCCATGAAGAGTGCAATGATGTATAGATGGCAATGACATGGTCGTGATTGTGTCTCAAGTCTTGATAGATATTATAGATGGTGGAGTCTGTTTGGATTAGATAAAAAACAAATTAGAATTAGATCAAAAAGAAAATAATGCGCAAGGAGACGAGTGAAATTAAACTCACCATGTCGCTTCAGTAAATCAGATCTTCCATCACTAACTTTAGCATCTTCCAGGTTGACTTTCAAGAAGTTTGAGTATGGGGTGTCTTTACTCAGAATTGGAATTCCCTCTGGGCCAAGTATGGCTTCATTCCAGCCTGGGTTCTGAGGATACATGTGCTCAAGCACAGCAAGAGGTGACTCTACAAATGGAAGGTAAAGTAGATCTGCATCTCCAGATCGAGACAGGTTGTGCAGATTAGGGAAAGCACCTTGCCCTGACTCATCTTGCCAGCTGAAGTCTTCTATACTCAGCTAAAAAAGTGAACAAAATCAATAAATCCAACATAATGTCATTTTTACATTAATTGATAATTAATCATATGAATTTGAAACTTCGTACATTTTCTTCAGCAAAGACTATCACGACAGGGTTGTTCTGCAACTTCTTGGAGAGAATTCCCTTGAATTCATCTTGACTAATCTTTGACAGAACTGGGATACTGTTGGTTTTAATAGATGAATCTCTGTAAGCAAGATAATTTTTCATTAGAAAGTTAGAAGTGTAAAAAAAACCACTGAGATTTTATCAGACAGTTGAGCACTTTGATTTAGCGAAAAGAAAATATTGATCATAGCATAACCTCTACAACTATCAAACTATCTATAAACCAACGCAAGTTTCAAGATAAAAAAATTATGACTTTGCATTAGCCAGCAAAAGAGAAAAACTTTGCACAGACAAACATTCCAAATTACCTATAAGAATCCCACAAGAGAACAGGGACCAAATCAGCTGACAGTACACATGGAATGACAACTCCTAGAAAAAGGAGAGCAGAAAACGACGGCATTTTTCCAGATGCTTTTTAGATTTTTTACGTTTGGATGTTCTTCTATTCGACAGAAAAACAATTCCTCTGACTTATAAGTCTGAATGACTGTGACAGATGTCGAGATGTCAGTCGAACATTTTCAGTCAAAAACCTTCATGCACGCCCTCCAACCACTAGCGACACGAACCCCCGCCCCGCTCTTCCTTCCCCTTCCCCCTCCCTACTTCCCCCTTCCATTCTTCCATCACCTCCTTAGTATGAAAATTAAATTGCCGTTACCCTGTCACGCTTGTCGTCGCAGGTGGATTCGACCTACCGAAACTTTTAAATTGGATTGGCACATTTCAATTATCCAAACCAAACGCCCGTAAAATTCAAATTACACCCACTCTACAAGAGGAAATATTTCCCTGCCCTGCCCCCTAGATCCCAACTCTCTATCTATCGAGTAACGAAATTTCTCATACTACTCCTTGGCATGATGGGTAGCTTCGCAGACGAACAGTCAAAACATAACAATATGGCTGAGCCGTTGTTTAAGTGGAATAAGGTGCATAACCCTTCGGGGCCGCAGCCTCGGCCCCGCCATGGACATCGGGCCGTCGCTATTAAAGATTTGATGGTCGTGTTTGGCGGAGGAAATGAAGGCATCGTAGACGAACTCCATGTATTTAACACAGGTAAATATTTTGGGCGGTCGACGTCCAGGCCCTTTATGCTAGGGCAAAATGGCGGTGTTGCAGGCCCCTGCAAACATGTTTTTCTGTGTGTTGTTCGTGTTTTGACCAGTTTTTTCCTGCATTTGCTGAAACTGTGATTTACACTTCGTCGGCTTACTTCAGGTTTGCTGTTACTTGCTGCTTACATTCAAATAAATCATCTGTTATGATTTGGCGGTTTACTTGGGTTATCCAACATGGCCGCCTCCTACGGCGTAACAGGATAGTATCATTCCGCTGTCAATTTTATTGCAATTGTCATTATGTTGGGTAATTCACCTTGGGAGACTGACAGGTACGCCGACGATGCCGTATTTTTCAGGTTGTCAAGTGTCAAGCCAATGTGTTGGAGCTTGTTTAATTATTTCTGACATTTGTTTGTGTTTGTTTGGGGGACGCTATCCGCGCTCTGCAAGCCTGCGGGTCTTAGCGCCATCTTGAGCGCTTCGGCAGACCTCCTCAGATGCAGGGCTTAGCGATATCTATTGCTCTTGATCAGTCCCAGTCATTTCCTCGCTCGACATATTTTCATCCGGACACAGCAAGTTTTAACTATCGAAATTTTCCCCTCTACCCACCACCACTTCAGCTTCTCTTCATTTTTCTCGTAGTGTCAAACAAGGGGGCGGATCAAATATTGCCTCTACGGTTGCTCTTTCAAAGCTCGTTTTTTATGTTTTACGCTACAATCAGCGTAGCGCGAATGGATTACACCGTTAACTGGAGGTTTCTAATGTCCTTCTGCCGAATTTTCTGGGGGGGACTGGTCTTCCCTCTCCGCGGCGCGGAAGTGCATCAGACCGCCGCTGCCGGGCCGCCTCCAGCAGGATAGATGGCGTCGGGTCGGCGTCCCCGCACGAGATGGGGGAGGTTATGCGCGCACCCCGCCTTCTGTTCGGGGGATGCATAAATTGCCCCGGATGCTCGAAGCTGATTCCCTTGTTTGTTTAGTCCGTTTAATTTCTTTCGCTATTGTTTACAATATATTCCCCATATGCAGTCATAATAGGCCTTTTCGTAGCAATATGCCCTTTTCACTACCCATGTAAATATTATTGAAAAACTTTCCTTTTCAGCTACAAATAAATGGTTTGTTCCACAATGCAAGGGAGATATACCAGCAGGTTGTGCTGCCTATGGTTTTGTAGCAGATGGCACACGGATCCTCGTGTTTGGTGGCATGATTGAATATGGAAAATATTCTGCAGATCTGTATGAACTTCAGGTACTTCCCTTTCTCCTTTATGTAACACCACTTGTGTTTTTTGGTGATGTGGTTACTCATTACATTTACGAATTTTTCAGGCAAGTCGCTGGGAATGGAAAATGTTACATCCACGTCCACCAAAGAAATTTCCTCCACCATGTCCGCGGCTTGGCCATAGCTTTACTCTCATTGGAAATAGAGTCTTCCTATTTGGGGGATTAGCCAATGATAGTGATGACCCCAAAAACAATATCCCAAGGTAATTATATTTAGTAGTAGACTAATATTTCAAATTTCCTTTCATTTGTGCTAGTAAACTAAGAATTTTGTTATTCTTTTTCTCTTAAACATCTTAGATATCTTAACGACCTGTATGTGCTAGAGCTGAAAGGTAATCATCAAACCTCCTGGGAAGTACCACTGACATATGGTGACTCTCCACCACCTAGGGAGTCTCACACAGCTGTGGCATATACGGACAAAAATGGACGAACAAGTCTTGTTATTTATGGAGGAATGAGTGGTTGCCGTCTGGGTGATTTGTGGATGCTTGATATTGGTAAGTGTCTTATTGAAGATGAAAGGACTTGTCTTTGAAGTGGTTTTATAAATTTATGTCTTGTTTATTAGACACAATGCATTGGCATAAGCCCACCGTACATGGTGTAGCGCCACTACCACGGTCTCTCCACTCAGCCACACTAATTGGACATCGTATGTTTGTCTTTGGTGGATGGGTGCCACTAGTTTTGGATGATGTGAAGGTGGCAACCCATGAAAAAGAATGGAAGTGTACAAATAGTTTAGCTTGCCTAAACCTTGGTAAGAATAATTTCTTACATGAGGATAAAATACTTTCATAATGACAATTTAAAAGTTATTAATTTTTTTTTTCACTTGTGCTGTTCCTGTAGAAACGATGACATGGGAAAGCTTCCAAATGGACACATATGAAGACAATGTGCCCAAAGCAAGAGCAGGACACTGTGCAGTGGGTATCCACACTCGCATGTATGTGTGGTCTGGCCGAGATGGGTATCGCAAGGCTTGGAATAATCAGGTTTGTTGTTATTCCATGTCATGTAATGTAACCATTTTTCATCTAGGTCTTGCATTCATAGGTCTTCCATAAAATTCTCACCATTCTTTCTTCCTTCTTCCTCCTTACAGGTGTGTTGCAAAGATCTTTGGTATTTGGAGGCTGAAAAGCCAGCTCAACCAGGCAGAGTTCAATTAGCCAAGGCTTTCACACAATCTTTAGAAGTGTATTGGCCTGCAAGTCCCACAGCTGATGCATACATTTTACAAATTCAAAAGTATGACAACCCACCTACTTCTACAGCACCTCAGGTAAGATAATACCTTACATTTCTTACTTGCAGATTCTAGTTCTAATTTAATAGTTTAATGTTGTAATTTTTGTCTCTCCAGTTGCCCTCACCACTGTCTGCCACGACATCGCAGACCACTGCTGCTTCCAAAACATCTGCAACAACAACCAGTTCAACAACTACAGCGCCTCTGAGCTCAGCTTCAGTTGCTAGAGCTGCAGTTAGTAGTCCAGCCAGTGCACCTGGCATTGCTGCAGCTGCAATTCGCCAGCCTGTTCCAGTTGCTGCAGCAGCCCCTGCTGCTCCAGTTACTCCGACTGCTAGCCCAGCACGTTCCCAACACACTCCAGTGCAGGCGTCACCTCAGAAATTACCAACAACAGTGGCAGTTGCAGCCCCTCAAACTGTGCTGCGAGGTAAGTGGTTATGGAGCATTTATAATATGAATTTTTTAATGTGAACAGTGGGTTTAACCATGTGGTTTTACTACAGCGGGTACACCAACAGCTGTTCGTCCAAGTGCACCAGCTACTCGTCCTGCAACAACAATTGTCCGCCCAGCAGGCACTGTGGTAAGCACGGGAGCCTCTAGTGCACCGGCAGGGACAGTAGTGCGGCTTCCTGTGTCAGCAGGCGTTGCCTCCCCATCCATAGTGCGACCTCAGACACTTCGTCTGATCCGAATGCAGAGTCCTGCTGGCCAGGGTGTGATCTCCCCTGGTCAAAGTCTGCTGTCAGCAAAATCAGGAACAGTAACATCAGTTGCCAGCCTATCGGCAGCAACCAGTGTTACTGGGGCAGGATCCACTGCATCACCTGTGGTGAGCAAGACCCTTGATTAGATAATTCTATTGCACTTTTAATTTGCATGCAATATAGTAATTATCCAAGCAAAGTAATTCATCATTGCCGGTGTTCTTTTGTCACTGACCTGGATGAATTTTACCATGTAGTTTGCATTGCCTGCCCCCTTAGAAAAAAATTGTAGTTTGAGAATTATTTTAGATTCTGTTTGCCAGGTATCACCACTTCAAAGCATTTATTCTTGTCTATCTATAAAGTTACTGTTTTGTAAGTTTTTTTTATCTGAGCTTGCTAGTATTTCTCTTAGTCTATAATTTTTGTACGTGGCCATAATACCTAGGTGTCATTTTAAAAATATCTCTTGTGTATCCAATGCCTTTTCTCTTTGTCTTTGAGTTTTTTTTACCTCTGAACTATTTATTTTGACTTGTAAATAAATGTTACAGTAGGTGTGCGCTTTTAATGTATATATGTATGTATGGTGGTGGGTATGTTAACTTATGAAAATGCTCATTTTTTTTTTTTTTTTATTGAAGTACTGTAGCAAATACAATTGGTGAAGGTTAACGGTTTTCTTGTTTTTCTGTTTGTTTTTTGTGCATTGGCTTGGTATTATCAACACTGTTGTAGTGTTTTCCTTCTCTCTCTCTTTTTTCTTTACTTAACTTTTGCAGCGTTGTGTAGAAAATGACTGTCTTGTTCCGTTGTGTGCTTTCTTTGCTACCATTTCTCCGGATGCAGAAGATGTGCCTGGCTCAGCTGTGCAGTGTGTGACGGTCCGCTTCTATGTTGTGTGTAACAGGCTCGTGGTCAGATGACCGGTATCCAGGCTTTGGCTGCCGCCGCCACGACGCGCCGAGTGGTTGCCGCTACTGCCGCTGCTGCGTCCGCGGCGAGCCCGGGAGCAGGCCAGGGCACCGTAGTGACCGCAGGCTCTGCACCGCAGGTCTCGGCGCAGTCAGCGATCCAGCAGGCGGTCGCGAGTGTGATCCCGGCTCAGGCGCCCGCTTCCAGCGCCGTGGTGTCGCTCGCCGCCTCCTCCGCGACAGGCTCCACCCCCGCCAGTCCCATGCGCATTGTCCAAGCGCAAGGCTCACCCTACAGGGTCGCGTCCTCCTCAGGTGCCCTCGGTGAGAATTCCAGCACCCCTCTTATTTAATTGTAAATTTTTGGTTTTCACCTATTTTATTGTGTTTTGCTCATTGTGTGACATCGTTTTCCCCCCAGTAGGCCAGACAGTAAGGTTGGCCTCACCAGGTACAACACTTCTACGCAGCGCTGCACCTGGTCAAGCTGGTAAACAGATCTTTCTTCAACGTCCAGGCTCGAATCAACCTGGTCAGATAGTGACACTTGTCAAGACTAGCCAAGGCATGACTGTCGCATCGGTAAGATTTGCACTTTTCTCCGTATGTAGTGTAATACGCAGCATTATCTATCTATCAGTTATTTTTTTCTCCCAGATGCCCAAGATGAGTCTCATTCAAGGCAAAACCGGATCAGGTAATGTTCAAACTATTCAGACTGTCAAAGCAGAAAATCCACAAGGGACAGTGGTTCAACAAGGAACAACAATTCAGTCGGGCAATCTTCCTCAAGGGGCAACAATTGTTAAGCTATTAAATCCTGGGTCGGGTATGTAATTTATTGTTGGTTTGGTTCAAAATGTTTGTTAAAGGCTATTGGTACAATTATTTATCTATCTTTTATTCATTTTAATGGTTTTACAGTTAGTAAAGCTGGTGGTGTTGCTGGTAAACAGACTATTGTAATTACTAAACCTGGAGGTGGCCAGCCAGCTGTATTAGGTCGATCCAGTACTGGCCAAATTATAATGGTTACATCAGGCTCAGCACTCAGAACCGTCCAAACCCTTACAAATAGTCAAGCTGGACAAGGTTTGTTGAATGAGCATTGGTTATAGTGTTTCTCCAGTGTTGAATGTAGTTTTGTAATTAGTTCATGACAGCTGTTTCAGGGGCACAAACTGTAACTGGACAACAAGGGGTCAAAATGATAGTCATGTCAGCAGGCCAAGCTGCACAGGCTCAAGCTGCAGGTGGCAAACCCATCACAATCACAGTACCAGGCCAGCAAGGTGGTCCCCCTAAAACAGTAACAATCCAAGGCAAACCCGGAATGGGCGGCACACAAACTATTCTTAGCCAAGGGCAGATTCTTTCAATGCCAGGCCAGGGACAGGTGAGTGACCCATTGAAACCATGAGTTAAGTCAGTTTGTCTTCAATGCACATTTGAACTTCTTGCTGATGTCACTCATTTCTTGCAGATTGCAGGCCAGCCATTAAAACTTCAAATGGGTCAAAAGACAGTCAGTGTTGTTGGGCTGCCTGGTGCAGGTACTCAAGGTGTTACCCGTGTGGCAGCTGCCTCTGCTTCGACTGCTGCTGCAGGTAATACTTCAACAACCTCAAATAGTTCAGGGCTTGTGCCTGTCACAGACCCAGCCATGCCAAGAATTGTGGTTGTGTCACGGCAAAACCAACCTGACCTTGTACCTGCCAGTCAGTAGGAAGAGTTAATTGCA